GTAAATGTACATGTACTTGTATGGTTTGTTCTTTACAGGGTCTCTTGTCTTTTCTTTCTGCTCCATTGCTTGGTGCTCTATCTGATGTCTGGGGCAGGAAGTCCTTCTTATTGATATCTGTGTTCTTCACCTGTCTACCAATACCATTGTTATTATTTGATTCATGGTAAACCCATCCTTCTTTCTCTCCTCTCCTCCCTCTTCCTTTTTCTATCTCTCTCATTATATTTCTTCTCTTTTTCTTGGTTTTTCTTTCTCCCCCCTCTCTCTCTTTCCCTTTTATTTATTTTTGTAGGTTATATTTCATAGTCATTGCTATTTCTGGTATATTCTCTGTTACATTCTCAATAGTCTTTGCTTATGTTGCTGACTGTACTAATGAAAAGCAGAGAAGCTACTCATATGGATCAGTAAGTAATAAATAAATAATAATAAATAAATAATAGTGATGTTTATAAGTTCTTTATTTTTGTTGGATGACCCTATAAAATTTTTAAAGAAGCTATAAAATTTTATTTTGCATTTGTAACTGTACAATGTACTGTGTAATTGATTTAACACTATGGTTTTAAAATTAATTACGTTTCATTTTCTTATTGGCAGGTTTCTGCTACGTTTGCTGCCAGTTTAGTCGTCAGTCCTGCTTTAGGAACCTGGCTGACCAGTTTTGCTGGTGGCCAGAACCAAGTCATAATCCTAGCGTCAATAATTACAATATTCAATTTATTTTTCATCATTTACATTGTTCCCGAGTCACTGCCCGAGACCTCAAGGAAGACATCATGGGGTTCTCCTATTAGTTGGAAACAAGCCGACCCTTTCGCTGTAAGAGGGAGAGAAAGGAGAGGAAATTTAATAGAATATAAAATACAGGAGTTCTGTTGAACTAATAGAACTTCATAATAATAATCTACTCTTAATATCACATGCATGTACATTTACAACGTATGAAGCAGAAAAGAGTAAAAATAGACCTTAAACTTGACTTTTAAATTACATGCACATGTACAGTACATAATACATGTACATGTACATGTACATAAATGTATTTCTCTCTCTTTCAGTCGTTAGGTAAAGCTGGTAGTGATCCTAAACTCCTCCTTCTCTCCATTATGGTCTTCCTCTCTTATTTACCCGAGGCTGGCCAATACTCATGCTTCTTTCTTTACCTTAGACAAGTGAGAGAGAGAGGAGGAAGGAATTTATTTTATCTTTATTTGTTATTATTTTTTTAGATTGTTGGTTTTAGTTTATTAGAGGTGTCAGTTTTTATTGCATTTCTTTGCATAGCATCAGTAATAGCACAGGTATATTATACATTCACATACATAGTCTATACATTCACTGATATGTACATCTACATGTACTTATGTTGTGTGGAAAGTTTGAGCTGATTCTGATCAAATTTGAGTTTTTTATGAATTTTTAAAGTTGCTCCAAAATTGGGCTAAAGTCTCTGTACATAGTACACGGTCTCGGGCCAAATTTTGCCATAATTCAAAAGGAGAGAATTATTCATTTTTATAATTTTATCTGGTGCATATACATGTTCTTATGTTGTGTAGAAAGTTTGAGCTGATTCCGATCAAATTTGAATTTTTATGAATTTTTAAAGTTGCTCCAGAATTGGACAAAAGTCCCTGTACTGTAGTACAGGGATTTTGGTAAAATTTTGCCAAAATTGAAAAGGAGAGAATTCTCCATTTTCATGAGTTTTTCTGATGCATATACATGTACTTATATTGTGTAGAAAGTTTGAGCTCATTCCGATTAAAATTGGATTTTTTATGAATTTTTTAAGTTGCTCAAAAATCGGGCCAAAGTCCCTGTACTATAGTACATAGTCTTGAGTCAAATTTCACCAAAATTGAAAAGGTGAGAATTCTCCATTTTCATGACTTTTTCTGATGCATAATATATATACATACATGTACTACTTATGTTGTGTACAAAGTTTGGGCTGACTCCATTTCTCTCTCTCTCTCTCCAGACACTAGTGTTAACATGTCTGATGCACCTAGTCGGTCACAAGTACACCATCATCTTTGGTCTAATAGTACAAGCTATACAACTATTCATTTATGGCGTGTGGACCAGTAAATGGCTAATGTGGACAGCTGGTGTCTTTGCCGCTTTATCAACAATCATATACCCAGCTATTAGTGCTTTAGTCAGCAAAAATGCCGAACCAGAACAACAAGGTAATATTAATTTTATAATTTTAATATTAAGTAATTATTCATTATGTAGGTGTGGTTTTGGGTATTTTGACTGGAATGAGAGGTTTATGTAACGGATTAGGCCCTGCCCTTTTTGGTCTCATATTTTATCTTTCTCATGTTCATTTGAAGGAAGTGGGTAGTGTGAGTGTTGCCATGGCAGCGACCAGCAGTAATGATATTCATGGGTTGGGCGGAGTCAGTCCTGTACTAATTAATGGTACAATGTCACCTACTGATATTAGCATGCATGAGGTAAAAAAAACTAATTATATATTATTATTATTATTACGAACACACACAGAGCTTGCGAAAGCAAGCCAGAAGTTACAAAAATTATCAGTTCACAACAAGTAAACATAGATAATAATTAGTGATCATTGTATAGTCCGTCTAATGATATTCGCAGTCCCCAACAACACTGTCTTTTGAATATGTTCCACCCTTATAACAACTCCCAATTTCTCCAACCACCTCTCAATTATTATTATTATTATTATTATTATTATTATTATTATTATTATTATTATTATTATTATTATTATTGATAGGGTGGTCTATTCAGAGGTCTTCCATTCCTCTTTGGTGTAATACCAGTACTAATTGCACTGGTTGTTGCCTTGTGTATTAAAGATACTAATAGTTTTATGAAGAAATCATCAGGTAACTAAAAGAATTGATTTTAACAAAATACATGTACCATAGAAAATGTTCATGTTGTCTTAATTGACAATGATTCTATTTTTTAGAACACAATTCACTCAATGTATTATGACAAGTGGACTGGAGTACAGTATAGTATTATTTTCATCTCTCAGTTTCATATTAATAAAAAAACAGTCACATGCACTCACACACTCATTGTTATTATCATGAATTTCCAACGATAACTCTGCAAGCTAAGACCCATGTATCTTGTTAAGAACTTGAGCTAATACAGAAAGACATGTTATCAATTCAAGAAAAAAAGAGAAAAAATTAAAAGAACTGAAGCAATTGAAAAAGAAGATAGGTATAATAGGGCTACAAAAATAAATGTTTTTAATTTAAAACTAGCAAAAAAATAATTATATTAATTCAAATCCTCATCCTTTTCAATGACTCTAATACTTGAGCCATAGTAGGACGAGCTCTAGGATCAATTTTAAGTCCTCTTTGTATGAGAGACTTCATATCAGACCAGGAGACACTACCAGATTGTCGTGCTCTCTCTGCTGTTGTCATTTCCGGTGGACAACGTAAATTCATTTCCATAAGGAGAACAGAGTAACTGTAGACATCCATTGCTGGACTGTGTTGATCAGGATCACGAGCTTCTGGTGCAGCATATGCTGGATTGCCTGGCATAACAGTACCAGTACTAGTGCCTTGTTGCAATTTAGCTGTACCATAATCTGCTACTTTAGCTTCATAACCAGCAGGTCCAGTGCAAGGCTTTAATAATACGTTAGGACTGCTCACATCTCTGTGAATAATAGGCTGAGGCTTAAACAGGTGAAGGTAGTTGAGGCCTAAAGCTACATCTTGAGCAATACTCATGATCTGCTGCTTTGTTAACTCAGTGTCCTGAAGCTTTTTATAAAGACTAGTGCTCATCAGTTCGGTCAAGATGAGAGGATTACCCACTTTAGTTGCACCAATAAACTGGACCAGGTTAGGATGACGTATTTGTGATGCTATACTCATTTCCCTGGAGAAGAGAGCCAAATTGACATCTGAGATGATGATATTATGAAGTGACTTGACAGCTACTTTTAAACCTCTAAAGATACCAACTGTAACGACAGCATAAGATCCTCTTCCTAACTCTTCCTCCATCAAAGTCACCTCATCTTTATTAATAACCCAGTGATCATCAGTAAGTACTTGTTGCTGGTACCTACGAACTGCATCTTGAGACTGACATAGCTCCCTATCCTTCTGTCGTAATATCTCCTCTTTCTCCTGCAGCTCTCTATCCTTCTTCTGTAGCTCCATATTCTTCTCCTGTAGCTCCCCATCCTTCTCCTGTAGCTCATTATCCTTCTCCTGTAGTTCTCTCTTCTTCTCTTTAAGACTCTTCATAAGAGCTTGTACGGTTTGCTCAATATCGGCTGTATCTTCCTTTCTTGGTTTCTGGTACTCCTCCAACCATATTCTTCCTCCTATTTGTAGTTGCTGCTGATACCTCTTTTTGTATTCTTCATTATTCATACCATCGGTATCTAATGTATCACCTACTGCCCACTGTCCTTTATCATTAGTAACTAAAATAGATACATACAATTAATCCTTTATCAATACCGTATAGCCACTTAATTTTTAGGGTACAATTTTCACTGGTTTTGCAGATTTTCCGTATCCACAAAAGTTAATTTCCTAAAATTTATCTGTTTAAACCTATAATCATGTGTACTTTAATAAAATGGCTATCTTGGGTGTGGCTTCAATCATGGAATTTAAACCATAAAAGTTAATTCACGAAAAAAGACTTGTGGCCTGATTCGCGAAAGTTTATTTCCTCTAAACTTGTGGCTATATGGTATATCATCCCACTATACTAAGTTACACTAACCTAGTTCAAGTAACATGGCAACACTAGGTTTACTGATGTAGTTGGAATCAGAGGGACACTGTCCTCCAACAGTTACTATCCAAACATAACGAGGACTACTGATACTGAATGATGAGACAGAATGACCCCATCTCTCACTAACAGAGGGAGGTACATCTAACTGTTAATAGAAATAAATTAATAATTTACATGTATCTCACTGTACATACCTTTACCCAGGAATGTTGAGTGATGTTAAAGATCCAACAATCATCTAATGTATCATTATTCTTATTTAAGCCACCACTTATCACTAGCATAGGACAGTTTAATCCAGTTATAATAATATCACCTGCATGAGCAAATCTACCCACAGGCCATTGGTTTATTGCTTCAGGTTTCTTTATATACTGCCAGAACTAATAAATAAAAATAAACAATGTCATATAGCATGCATGCATACACATAATTTAACATACCACAGTGCTGATTGATATCTCTAATATATAAATATTGTTAGTGTCAGTAGTCATAGCATCATCATCAGTTTCTATTCCACCAAACAGAACAGCTCTAGTGTTGTTGACCTTTTCAATGATAAAGTCACTAGCAGGTGGTATACACTGACCAATGATTGAAGGATCACTCCATTTTCCTAAATTAAAATTATAAACATAACTTCAAACAATTTTATTATTTTACTTGATAATATATTATAAATTGAGTGCTCATTAGTACGCCAGTCTCCATGAGGAAACTCAATATATTTATAATGAGGTAGTTGTACAGCTGGTTTAGATCCCCTTCCTCCTATCATTAGTAAATGGTGTACTCCATCATGTTCAATTGATATCATTCCACCAGCGCCTCTCATCATAACTGGTCTAGTTGCATCAGTTGGTTCTAATTCTCTCCATTGAAGTCTAATGGTATCCAGTTGTGTAATACTGTTGTGGTAGCAGTCGTCAGCGTCGAGGTCATCATGGCCACACTTTCCCCCAAAATAATACAATCGATCTTTTATTGCAGTACAGCAGTATTCGATAATTCCTAATGGAGGAGTGCCAGCAGTACCTCTAGTGATCCATTGACCAGTTGAAAGAGTAAAGTGTTGTATATAACTGGTGATCCTTCTCTTCTCTGCACTATCATGAACTGCAGGCAACTTATTATGATGGCCAGCCCACACGTACAATGAATGGTCTATCGATACAGCGCGGTGATGGGCTCTTTTTCTCGGTTTATCTATGATTGACAATAAAAAATATATAATGGATTGGTAACACCTTACTTTTGAACGACATAGCAGCCAGCCTAGTCTGACGAGCTATTATATAAAACCAGGATCCAACAATGATGCAGTCAGGGCTGTATCAAAATATAAATCAGAGTTATCAGACGTGCATGTAGATGCAGCAACAGTAGCGTAGACGGGGTATTTCCTGTAGTAGATTCCATAGATAATAGAGTAAATGAAATTATAATATTTTACTCTAATATGTAGATTCTAAAATAAACTGTTGTGTGGCAGCCATATCAATTCATTAAAGGTGTGGCTGATTAATAATAAATTTTTCAAAACTGAAATTATGTTTATTCATAGATATAAGACCCGGATCTAATATCTATGGTTTATTGTACAAGTCTGTATGTGGCATATCTGCCAGCTGTTTCACTTGGTCTTATGATCTTTACTACCTAGAGTAAAATCTCCGTTATCGGTCACGCCCCTTATCGGACGCTTATTGCTAAGCTCCATAACAGTTCAGCTGTTTTTAGCTAGTATCATCTGATAGATCTTTGATAACTATTAGGGCATGCAAGATATCAAAGCAAAAAATATTTGCATGCAAGAGACAGGAGCTCTCAAAGTTACAAATCGGACTACCTCAATTTCGGGTGAAAATGTCGTTCTGTGGACAGTGGCTGCCATTTCGAATCAAACACTAGCTCTTGCCTTGAAGCAGCATCATCAGTTTTGCCTATCATTGTGCTATTATAATTCCAAGTTTCAGAGCTCTGCCTCTTTTCTTCTTTGCACAGTAATTTTAAATATTCATGCAGGTGTATTGATCAATATTCGGTCAACCCTGATTCGGACTATTCATAGATATGGACTATTTCATGAAATCTTGCTCGCAAAGAAAAAATTAGCACTTCTGAAACATTTAAAAAATAGGTATTACACAAATGTTTGTAGATCCAATAGTTGAGTCGTTTTAGTTAAGAAATAATACTGCTAGAGTTAAAATCATAGTAAAATGGCTAATAAATCAGTAATTTTACCCACCCAAATTATATAATGCATTGGGTGGGGCTTTTTGACTCATTTTTTAGTTATTTTTACCCTGGCAGGCTTATTTTTAACTAGAAGGACTCAACTCTTGGATCTACAAACATTTGTGTAATATCTATTTTTTTAATGTTTCAGAAGTGCTAATTTTTTCTTTGCGAGCAAGATTTCATGAAATAGTCCGAATCAGGGTTGACCGAATATTGATCAATACACCTGCATGAATATTTAAAATTACTGTGCAAAGAAGAAAAGAGGCAGAGCTCTGAAACTTGGAATTATAATAGCACAATGATAGGCAAAACTGATGATGCTGCTTCAAGGCAAGAGCTAGTGTTTGATTCGAAATGGCAGCCACTGTCCACAGAACGACATTTTCACCCGAAATTGGGGTAGTCCGATTTGTAACTTTGAGAGCTCCTGTCTCTTGCATGCAAATATTTTTTGCTTTGATATCTTGCATGCCCTAATAGTTATCAAAGATCTATCAGATGATACTAGCTAAAAACAGCTGAACTGTTCTGGAGCTGAGCAATAAGTGTCCGATAAGGGGCATGACCGATAATGGAGATTTTACTCTAATGAATGGAGGAAGGAGAGAGAGAGAGAGAGAGAGATAATTTTAGAAATTTGGTATCCATTACTTGTCCTCTTTTGAGTCCGTAGTACCTAGCAACAGGGTCACCTGACTGTATCTTAGGCAACTGGTGCTCTTTTAATTTACTAATCATTGTGTATTAAGAACAAATAACTGTAAAATGAAATGTTGCAATACATGGATGCATGTAGCTATTATTTTAACTTCAATGCTTGCAATTTTATGCCTTTGGAAATGAGTAGATCATAAAAAAGCAAAACAATCTCAATTAAGATATTAATGAGGATACTATCTTGCTAACAATTCTCTCTTTTCTTCTGTTGTCATGACAATATGTTCCGGAACCAACTACAAATCTGCATAAACCACATCTAACCCACAGTCACTCACCTCATGTTCCGTTATATTAATCATAAGCTCCGCCTCCATGAACTGTTCCAGTATGTATTTAGGTGCCATATCAACTAGTGCTTGTTTAGCTGATGGAGTCATTCCTTGCTGTACGACTATAATGGCTCTTGATATGTTCTCCTCCTGCATTCTACCACAATATCTGATAATGAAAGAGAGGGAGATTAGGAACAAATGAAAAACATTTTTTAATTCAAAATTTGTTCAAATTTTGAGCTAAATGACTGTTTTTATGCTGCTCTAAAGTATTATAAGCGACTCCTGAGCTAAATGGCCCATGTGATGATATAATGTATTTGATTTTGTGGGTCAATAGCAAAATGGATTGGAACAATTTGGTTATAAAAAATTAGGACGAAACAAAAA